GAGCGTTCCTGCTGCTCAATGGGAGACGAATGGCAGCAGGGCTCACGGTCTTCAATTACACACCGGCCGTTGGCCAACGTGGTAAGGCACCAGTACAGAATGTACGGCAGTGCACCCACCAGATATTATGAAGGGAACACTTATAGTGGTGTTCAATCATTTAAGTTGTCCCATAAGTCTTAAAGCATTAATTTAATTTATTACAGGACTTATCAATGCAACCATTTAGTTGCATTTCGCATCCTTTTTTTTCCAGCCAGTATAACTTGCAAATATGATTCAATTTAAGCATTTCCTTCCAGTGAAATGACCATTAAAGCCAACTTTTTTTTTACCTAAAAACATTCATAAATGAGCACCATTAAAGGATGAATGCGCCAAAAATGTTATGCTAATGTTTTGATTTGGTTTTATTTGAGACCAAGCCCACATTCACTGGACATCCCAACATTCACATCTCATAAAACTTAAAATCGCAGTATGGAGTTAGATTCAAGCCAATGAACTTAGGGGTTAACCCTGAATTCTTTACCCACTGATCTACAGCTATCCATAGGTTTTACAGGGATCATTATCTGACATACAATATATTTCAGGCCAAGGAAATAAAAATATAATAAAATAGTTTAGAATTTCAGCCTAAAAGGCATTTGGAGAAAATTTGCCTTCAAAAAAGCTGGCAGATGAAGGGTGAGAGTGGGAAACTTGCAAACTGCCTTTAAACACGTGAGGAGTGCACTTGTTCAAGTAAATAAAACACAGTACAAAAAGATGAGGCTGTATGAGCGGTGCAAACCACACACCAGCCTCCGCAGACACAAACACACGGCACAGGCACAAACTTACATCCACGTGCACTGAATGCAAGATATTCCGAGAGGCGAGAAGCGGAAGGAAGGGAGTGCGCAGAGAAAGGAGAAAGCCAGGGCAAGTTAGAGAGGAGGAAAGGGAGAGAAAATGGAGCGCATCCTGGGATGCAGAAAGCCGAATATAGCGAGATAAGAGTAAATGTATCCCCCTATTTCCTCCCTCCTTTCCTCCCAGTCCTTCATCCCTACTGTTTGGCTCTGTCTTTCTTCCTCCCTCAA